AGAAAGGGGGAAAGGGGGAGCAAAGCAACCGTGAGTACTCATCCAAAGTACTCGCAAACAAGGAGCTACACTACATATGTATGCATTGGTATCAAATGGAAAAGGGGTATCATATGTGGACTGAACTGCAGAAAGCCGGAGTAAGAGGAGGATAGCTAGTCCTATCAAAGACTACGCTTCTGGTAACCTCCATCTTGCAGCAGAAGAAGAGAGTAGATGGTAAGTTCACCAAGTAGCATCATGTAGCATAATCCTAACCGATGATCCTCCCCTCGTCGCCCTGTGAGAGAGCGATCACCGGTTGTATCTGGCACTTGGAAGGGTGTGTTTTATTAAGTATCTGGTTCTAGTTGTCATAAGGTCAAGGTACAACTCTGGGTCGTCCTTTTACCGAGGGACACGGCTATTCGAATAGTTCAACTTCCCTGCAGGGGTGCACCACATTTCCCAACACGCTCGATCCCCTTTGTCCGGACACACTTTTCTGGGTCATGCCCGGCCTCGGAAGATCAACACGTCGTAGCCCTACCTAGGCACAACAGAGAGGTCAACACACCGGTCTAAATCCTATGGCGCAGGGGTCTAGGCCCATCGCCCTTTGCACACCTGCACGTTGCGAACGCGGCCAGTGAGCAGACCGCAACCTCCATTACAAAGGAAGTTGCGTTACACAGTCCAACCCGGCGCGCGCCGCTCAGTCGCTACATCACGAAGGCTTCGGCTGATACCACGACGTCGAGTGCCCATAACTGTCCCCGCGTAGATGGTTAGTGTGTATAGGCCAGTAGCCAGACTCAGATCAAATACCAAGATCTCGTTAAGCGTGTTAAGTATCCGCGAACGCCGACCAGGGCCAGGCCCACCTCTCTCCTCGATGGTCTCAACCTTCCCTGTCGCTCTGCCACAAAGTAACAGTCGGGGGCCGTCGGGAACTCAGGTCCACCACTACCTGGATGGAGCCACCTGCCCCTTCAGCCCCTATCTCCGAAGAGTATCATAAGTAATGTAACAGTATAAGTATATATCATATGCCGTGATCATCTCCCGAAGTGATCACGACCCAGTAGTATAGCATGGCAGACGAACAAGAGTGTAGGGCCACCGATGGAACACTAGCATCCTATACTAAGCATTTAGGGTTGTAGGTAAGGTATCAACAGTAGTAACAACAATCACATGCTATGCATCAGAATAGGATTAACGGAAAGCAGTAACATGCTACACTACTCTAACGCAAGCAGTATAGAGGAGAGTAGGCGATATCTGGTAATCAAGGGGGGGGGGGGTTTGCCTGGTTGCTCTGGCAAGAAAGGTCGTCAACACCGTAGTCGACAACAGGGGTACCGACAGCGGTCTCGGGGTCTACCGGAAAGAAGTAGCGGAGGGGAACACAATAAATAACAGTGCAATCAAAGCATCACAAGGCATAACATGATAATACGCGGTGCTAGGGGGGCCCTAACACGGTATGAGGTGGTACCGACGAAGGGGGGAAACATCCGGAAAAATATCCCCGGGGTTTTGCGTTTTCGGATAGATGAATTGGAGAGGGAAAGTTGCGTGTTCTCTATGCTAGGGATGCATGGTGGACGAACGGGCTGCGTATCCGGATTCGTCTCGTTGTTCTGAGCAACTTTCATGTACAAAGTTTTTTCATCCGAGCTACGATTTATTTTATATTAATTTCAAAAGAATTAAATCATTTTTAGGATTTAATTAATTATTTTAATTCAACATTATCTAGAATAGTGGTTGCTGACATCATCATGACTTCAGCATGACGTTAGCAGTTGACCTGGTCAACCTGACAGGTGGGTCCCGTTCGTCATTGACTGTTTAATCGAATTAGGGTTTAATTAAGCTGACTAGTTGATTAGATTAATTAAACAGGATTAACTAACTTAATTAATTAATTCAATTATTATTTATTTATTTATTTATTTATTTTTAATTCATTTATTATTATTTTTTAATCATTTTGGGCGTGGGCCCCGTTCGTCATAGGCCCGGGGGGCTTATCGGGCGCGGGTTAACGGGGATGGAGCGGAGCAGAGCCACGGGGCTCACGGGCGCGAGCGCCGGCGGCCAGGGGTTGCGCGGGCGGCGACCCGAGCAGGGCTGGGGCACCAGCACCACAGCAGGTGGCGGGGCGGCCAAGCAGCGCCATGGCACGGGCGCGGAGGTGGAGGCGGTGAGCGCAGCGGCTACGGGCGCAGGCCTCGCGGGGCCATGGCGAGGTTGAGGCGAGGCGACGGTGCAGAGCAAGCAAGGCAGCAGCAGCCAGCGGCAACAACGGCACGGGAAAGCGGCGGTAGCGGACGGGCAGGCGCGGGCGTGGTCGGGCACGCGTGCGGTCGGCGCGGGCCACTAATGCCGGGCTGGAGCCGAGCGCATGTGCGCGATGAGCGCGGGGGGCGGACAAGAGGGGCACGGCCGTGGGCGCGTCCAGGGGCACCGAGGTGGTGCGCGTGCGCGCGGTGGCCGGGCGCGACAAGCGGTGTGGTTGAGCGCGAGCAGGAGCAGCGGGCGCGCGAGGGGCTTCGGCCACGCGCGGGAATGGCGGGCACGGTGAGCGCGCACAAGCAGGGAGAGGCGGCAGACCGGAGCGGG